AATAGGCCTTTTGCAGCTAGAGATCACGTGCTTAGATACCGCATAGCAACGCCATACTGGAGAGCAAGCACTCCAGTGATCTCAGACAGTATAGAGGTCACAGAGGTCTGCATTCAAACAAAGAATACAGCGGATAACAGGTCAAAAGGTATCCCAATTCGAGAAATCCAGTAAGAAGTAATCAACAGCTTCCCCGGAGTGTATCAGCAGCAAAATCACACCAAAATTCGTTTTTCGCTGATACACTCCAAGGAAGCTGTTGATTAAAACTTACACGATTTCTCGAATTGGGATGCCCTTTAACGTGTTATCCGCTGTATTCTTTGTTTGAATGCAGACCTCTGTGATCTCTATTTTGTCTGAGATCACTGGAGTGCTTGCTCTCCAGTATGGCGTTGCTATGCGGTATCTAAACACGTGATCTCTAACTGCAAAAGGCCTATTGAGGCAACAAACTTTCGCCTACAGAGGTGGCAAAGACTGGAGCAGCCTTCGGATTAACTTGAAAGGAACAATTTTGTTTTATCTGATTATATTTTTTTTCTCTATCTAGTTTTAAGTAATCTCATAATATATATTCTGTTTAATTCCTTATCTTGAGATTTTGACACTTTCGATTCCAGATATTTGGAACACATTTTACCGGTCATGTATTAAGAACTCAAAGATTATTCAAGGCCCATCAACATGAACAAAGAATATTGTAATGACAATTGGTTATTTGCATCTTTCTAGGTATTTGAAGGAAATGATGATAGGAACTCAAATGTTAAGCAACTTGTTTACGGAATGTTAACAAGATATCTGCGATTCTTGCCACAAACTCACCAGGGTGGGGTTTGTATGAGAACTGAAGCATTTGGATTGAAACAAAAGCAAAGTGAGTAGCGAACTTAACTTTTTGTGATTATTATGATCTACGCGTGACAGTTACTAAGTATGTAATTTTTACATCTAAAGTTTTTTTTATTATTTCGTTTCGTTATTAGGAATTTTCCGGAATGATTAGCAAGGTTATGATTTTTAGGAATGTCTTTACAGTTGCACCTGTTAGCTTGAATGTAGTTTCACAGAGCCCTCGAATGTAGTATCACGGAGCCCTCATATGTGGTTTCACGGCGCCCTCGATCATGGTTTCACTCTTAACTAAAAGTCAACTTCAGGTGTAGTTTAGTTGAGTCTGTGCCACTGTCCAGTAAAGTTAGACTTAAAGAGGGATAAAGAGCAAGAGAACTCGCTCTTTGCAAGGTAACATCTGTTAGTTGTTCCCGTTCATTTTACACTATTTACGGCCTACTACTCTATTTGGTTTCTTTTGTGTGTTATTTGCGTGCTGTCTTGCTGTTGATTTGCATTTATGATATATTATTTTGGAAATCCTTAAATCCTCTCCTTTCCTACTCGCTTGACTGCCGCGTTCTGTTACATATGACCTGCATTGTGGTGCAGTCTGAGATACTCTGTTAATCCTGAAAAGAAGTCGATACCTGCTGTCTAAATTTTGAAGATTATGTTAAGATTTGACCAAAAGGTCTTCGTTAATCAACCAACCAAGCATTGTTTATTTGTTATGTGGTTTGTGCAGTGCAAGCTGTGCCAGCTTCACACACCAACTTTTTAATTAGTGCATTTCTCATCAGCAGAGCTCAACCATCGCATATAACTTAAAGAGGGTACATGACACTGAGCATAGGAATTCTCAAGAAAAGTTTACTATCCTAACAAAAAGCATATTGAGCAGACTGGACTGTTTCCTGAGTGTAGTTTGCTTTTGTTTTTTACTGTTATGTAAATGCCTCTAATGTACATGTTCATGCCAATTTAATTGTCTGTGGCAGTGGCCAACTCGAAAGGTCAAGCTACTTTGGTCACTGCGCACATTTTGCTTTTCACTAGTTGTGTAATTTACTTTGCCTATGTCTCTCCTTTTTAATGTACTTTACTGTAGAAATAATTATTTGTAAATAGTGCAAAATAAATAAAGACTAAAGACTTGATATAACAAAACAAGTTGTGTGATTCAATATTTTTTTTGCTTCCAAACAGCCACTCTTTCTTGTCACGTTTCATATTGATCACCAAATACAAACCGCATTGCCAGGGATCTGTTTGTAAATCATAAACTTACTTGTGCTTTTCGTGTTGATTATATTTGCATGTATAATGTATTTAACACGATCCACGAACAAATGCGAAAGCTGGTTTTAAATTGTATCTTGCAGCATGTAACGTGGAGGCCATTGGTCTTGCAAGTGGTGGTACAGTTCCAGACAGCAGCTTCACAGCCACATCGTTTTATGATGATAGATATAAACCTTTTCGTGGTCGCCTGAATGCAAATACCAGGGGTTGGGGACCCAAACAAAGAGATGATCCTTAAGACTACTTACAAATAGACCTTGTGTATGAGCATTTTATCTGCGCTATAGCTACTCAAGGAAGTAAGGGATCCAATGAATGGACAACCGAGTACAAGATTCATTTTTCATTGGATGGAGAAAAGTTTTTCGCCTATAATGAAACCAGTGTTGAAAAGGTTTGTGTGCGTGAAGGGTATTTCTTTTATACATCAGTTTTTCAATATTCAGTGCCAATTCTCTTTCGAGTGAACTTCAAACTGTTACTGATCTATTTGAGTCTACACTGTTCCCTCAAGGGGAAACAAAATTTTGTGTGCATGGTGCAAAGATGCAAATGACAGTTAGCTATGAAAATGATCGTGTAGTTGTTAATAAGTCCAAGTCAACTGGACTTATTAGTTATAATTACAACCCTAAGTAAACAATGTGATTTTCTTCTTTTCAAAACAATGAATGATATATTTGACAGGGAATATCACCAACAGCGCACCACACAGGGATACTGATTTTACCTTTGAGTGCCTCTTGTACCGTAATATATAACAAGTGACTTGCCCAAAGGTTAAGTGTGATACTTCAACTTATAAGGCACAGTCACCCATTTTGATGCACAATTTGGTATTTCTTTTGATCGTGTTTTTTTTTGGACGTCAGAAACATGTTCTCATTCCAACTTCAATGGCTCATACTTCTAGTCATCATGATTCATTGGCTGATACTTCCGTAGTTAAGGATACAGTATGTTGATTGAGAAATTTCTAATACTCAAAAGTAATTTAATTTTTTTACACTACAAACTGCAGCTCTTTTCCGGAAATTCAAATAGAAACGGTATTGTGAAAAACAGTCTACAGGAATTTGTAAGTGCAAAGTTTATCCGCTTTCAACCAACAAAGAAAAGAGATTGGAAAGTTCTGAGAGTGGAAGTTTATGGAATACTTCTAACTAAAGGTATTTGTTTGCTGTTATATTTGTCTTAAAATTAAGTCACAGTAACCAATGATTAAAGGTAGGCAAGATTGGCTAGTTTTATTGAGCTAAATGCGAGTTCGATTTTCACAAATATTTCCATGTGCTGAGACTTGGTTGAATGGGAATCGGATATGCAAAACCTTTTATTCGTGGTTGAGCCTAAAATATCACAACCACTATCCTAGGATCCTGCAAGTACTTGGATTGTGTTAGGGCTCGATATACTACTATAGAGTAATGCATGAATCAGACCAAGTGCTCAACACAACTGCTTCATTAAAATAACGTGAGCTTAACTATATGCAATCATATCTAGGGATAGTCACGTGAGGGCTGTCGAGGGTGCGCTAGTCAATGATACAGATTATCTGATAGCTAAAGAATTTATCCAAATATAGGAACGAACGATACAATACTCATTTTCCTAAATTAGTGAAAGTAGAGCGTATATGTACCTTTTTTTAAGAATGAAAAAAGTAAAGTTTGTTCTTGTTGTAGTTTTCGATGATTATGGTTTTTAACAAATATGAATGGCAGAGAAGTTTCCGAATTGATTTAGGGTACAGATTATTTATTCTGGCGTTTTTCCATTTCACGTATGAAAAAGTTTTGGTGGCAGAAAGGTTCGATAGATTTGCTTAATCTATATGAGTTCAAGGGTGTACTATCCATTGGGGACTATATTTGTTGCACAAATCAATCCTTAATAGAAATTATGTATTTAGATATCAAGTATTGGTTGTGGATCGGTAATGCTGATGCTTACGAGATTTCATGAATGTTCATGTATTTCTGTTTAAAAGTACCCTTGATTATGTTTCTAGGCATTTTTCCAGATAAGCTTCTGCCAGATCATCAATAGCAAAGCCAGGCCAGGTTGTGCACATAGAAGATTACTGGCAGTTAAAAAAAAAATCATGCCAGAGATGGCGGTAAAATCCTGTAGCGTTGCAGATTCTTGAACTTTGTAGGTTGCCATGTCAAAAAAGTTCTTAATCTCATGAATTACATCTTCACACTTAATATAGGAAGACTATAGGTCTAGTATGTAAGTACAGTCAACATATCTAGTAATCCTCTACACTACTTTGTATTTGTAATTCCTCTTTAGTTTACCATATTGGTTAACCAAATATTCCTTCTAAATAACACATCAATCATCAACTAAAAATGGAAGCATGCGTAACCTCTTCATGTTTGTTTCAGTTCCTTCAAAACCTCCTACTGCCTTCAAGTTGACGGCAAGTTCTCCTACCAGTATTATTGCTTCCTGGCAGTTACCACCAGTATTTGCTAGACATGGAAAAATCGAAGGGTTTAAACTCTTCTACAGAATGAGAGGGTCTGGTGATGCAGCAAAAACATCCGTAATTAAAAATACAACAAAATTTAGTAGCGATGTGTCTGGGCTTGAGAGATACACTGAATATGAATTTCAAGTGTTAGCCTTCTCTTCTTTTGGTGATGGACCAAAAAGCTCTTTTGAGGCAGAAAGAACAATGGAAGATGGTATGTGACAGATCAACGACTGTGAAAATCTGTTAATCACATTTTGTAAATTTTTGCATGTTCATCGTGGGTGTCCAGACAAATTCACTGACTTTAGGTAACCAAAGACGTAATGAGAAGAGTAAACAACTAGATAGTGGAGAATTAATTGATTACCCTAGATTTTCAAAATGTTCTCAATCAGTCAAATCATGCATTGTGGTATTTTTATATCTTGCTGATAGATTTTAATAAAAGGTCCAATCTTTTGCAGTACCTCGTTGCTTAAAGTACTACTCATACATAATATTCGATTCATTTAATAAGTAACATATCAACCTAATCGACCCTTTACATGCAATTTACCACGGGGAGGAGAGGCCATTTTTCAATCAAAGAAAATAGGATTATCCTGCATTTATGAGCTGTTCATTGTAACTTAAAAATGTAAATTTAAAAAGAGAGAAATGGTTTTAAATTAGGTACAGTTATAGAATTAAAAAAACCAATGTCTTTGTCTGTGTGAAATGATGTCGGTTTACTGTAGTTTTGGTCTTACCACCTGAAAGAGTGGCAGAAATGACATAAGCTGTAACAGCATCATTGAACAATCGATATGAAAGGATGAAACACCATGTAAATGTACCTAATGAGGCATGCATAATATTTTATTACATTTACAACTCAGACATCTGAAAGTCTAAATGTGCTGCATTATCAGAAATACCTTAGTATCTGTCTGGAAGGAAAGTCGTTCGTGAAAGCTGCGATTTAGCTGCACTGTTTATAATGTCCAAATATTAGGGGAAATTATGCTCATTCTGCAATACTTATCACGATTGCTTCATTGCAGCTCCTTCACAACCACCCTCTCACTTAATAATCACTGTGAATTCTTCAACCAGTGTCACAGCCTCCTGGCAGCTACCACCAGAAGGCTCCAGACATGGAATCATTAAAGGTGTTAAACTGTTCTATAAAAAGAAACACTCGGGCTCAGTGACATCCTTGACCATTGACTATGGAAACACATCAATGCGAGTAACCAACCTTGAGAAATACACTGAGTATGAATTTCAAGTGTTGGCCTTCACTTCTGCTGGTGATGGACCAAACAGTTCTACTGTTTTCAGGACAACAATGCAAGATGGTGAGAATCAGAAGCGCTTAACAATAATAACAATAATAATTAAAAATACTTGTAGAGCGCTGTGTCCACTAATTGCTCAAAGCGCTGTACAACAATGATTAAACCATAAAATTTAAAAGCTAATAGCTATTATAATGAAATTAACTAAACTACACTACCAAAAACTAGACATCATAAGCCAATTCAAATAAGTATGTCTTCAACTGCGTCTTGAACTAGTCAACAGAGGTAACACTCCTGGGTTCAAGAGGAAATTGATTCCATAGTCTAGGAGCAACTACAAAAAAGCTCTATCACCGTACGTCTAAAGATTAAAAAGCACAGCTAAAAGATTCTGAGAACTAGATCGAAGTAAACGTGGATTATTATGGTAGTGTAGAAGTTGAGATAGATAAGTTGGTGCCAAGCCATCAAGGCACTTTTGCACTAAAAGCAATATTTTAAAACGTATGCGAAGGTTTAATGGTAGGCAGTGAAGTTTAAACATGATAGGAGTAGTATGGTCAAACCACTTAGTTAACTTAACAATGCGTGCAGCAGTATTTTGTATTAATCTTAGCTTAGCCAACATTTTGATAAACTGTTCCATCGTAATTGCTGAAATAAAGGTGATGTTACTGATTTAGGGTGCTGTCTTTGAAATGTGGACTCCAGGTTCAAATACTTCACTATGACTCTTCAATAAGTTTCGTTTTCTTCTGTTACTTATAAGATCTCCTCCTTTGTCATGGGTTGTGAGTAATCAAATCTTAGTAGTTTCTTTTCATACCTTAAGATGTTTAGTAGCTCAGATAAAGCTGTATTTATTTAATGTTCAGAGTATCCGTAACGAAGAACCAGTTCATTTGACACCCAAATGAGGGGGGAAAGTTTATGCTATTATTACAGTTTTTTCAACATACTGCGCCTTGCTCAGGGCAATTGTTAATAATACACATGCCAGTAATGAGCTTTTGTATTATTCTTTAAGTGAAAATCACATTATGTTTACTCTTCCAGCTCCTAGTGCACCTATGTCTTTGTCTTTTGTTGATGTTCCACCCAGCAATTTGCATGGTCCTCGAATAACCTTGTCCTGGCATAAGCCCACAGAACCAAATGGAGTTATAAGGGGTTACACTTTGTTTTATAGTCACGGTGGAGTTGCACCAAGAGAGATATCTGGTATAGACAAATATGCATTGAGTCACACAATTGATGTGTTGGGTGGAGTGACTTATCAATTTCATATCAGAGCTGTGACTTTTAAACCGGGACCGAATGAGACGATAACTGTAGCAAGCAAAGAATATGGTGGGTTCTCTACATTAAACGCTGTGCGAATTGGAATACTTTTAAACACATTTACATGCATTGCAACATTTTGTAGTGACTTTGACGGGGTGATCCTTGTTCATGTTTAAAAAATGATTCGATTTTTAATTGCTTGTTTTGTCTGTTTGATATGATCTGCTCACCATGAAAAAGAGTATCTTTTACTACAGAAAACTCTCAAAGTGAGTTTAAACCATCAAATCTGTGATACATGTTTAAAAGTTGTAAAGTATGAATTACTGATCAACTCTACTTTTATCATAAATGTAAGAATCTATGTTTCAAGCAAGGCATAGAAACCTGTTTATATTTGCTGCTTTCCTTTCTTTTTTTCTTTTTTGTTGTTGTTGTTGTTTTTTTGTTTTGTTTTTCTTTGGTTTTTCTTATTAAACCGTGACCTTTAAATATGTATTACTAGGTGTATACATAAGTAATGATTTGAGACTATTGTTGTCATTCTTTTGTGCGTCCATTCAGCTTTTCATCTAACAATAATTTAACATGATGAAAACTGTTTCTCGTGTGTGTCAAACAGAGCCCAGTCGTGGACCAGAAGAGGTACATATATCTTCTGCAGTGAACTCCTCAAAAATTGATGTAACTTGGCTTGGACTTCCAAGAGAAGTAGCCTATGGTAAAATCTTAAGATATGAAGTTAGCCTCGTTGTGTTGGAAAAATGTAAAGAGAGTCGGTCTGCCTATCATTCAACCATAAACACGACCAAAACCTATGTCCATGTGACTGGAATCTCTTTCTGTGCCAAGTACGAAGTGTCTGTTAGAGGCTACACTGCTGCGGGACCTGGACCCTACAGTGGACCTGTAATGGTGCAGACACTGGGTAAGTAAGCCTATGGGCAGCTGTAATTAGGCCATTTGCAGGGAGGGGTTGAACAGAAGGGCTGACACAACTTATGGGAAAGTTACAAAGGAAAATTATGTAGATTTCGAGCCGTGGGCAAGTGATTAATGAGCTCATTGGTTGTATGCTTAATATGCACCTGTAACCTCACGCGTTCTCGTACAGAGTAAGGATCTCGTTGGATTTACCTGACTTAACTGAGCCTTCTTTCCCTTCTCCCCAGCTGTAGTGTGGTCTAAAGAAATGCCATCTTCGCCTTCTTTTTCTGTGAATGCAAAAGGAGGACGAATTTCAGTTAAAGTCACGCTTCCACGTTTTCCTGGAAATGCAAGATATGATTGATTAAGCAATTTTACATTTGTTTTTAGGGCTATTTGGAGAAGGGTAGGCTTTTGTCTGGCTAACGAATGGCAGAAGAAGGATTTGGCAAAGGGAGAAGTGGCTCAGGAGACATGCATTTGTTTGAAATGATCAAACTTAGGCTTTATTTATATGTATATGCTGTAATTCATATTTCGTTTTCTCTTGTACTGTGATCATCATCAGACATCCTGTGCATTGTCATCTGCTGATAAAAAAGAAAATATGAGGTAGGGTACAGGTACCTGACAAGTAACGATTGACACCGCAAGATACTGTTGACACTACTCGTATCTTGTTGCAGGTTTTTTCAAGTTATCATCATAACATACAGCTCAAACTATACTGGAGCTGTTAAACCACCGGGAAGATTTACAACACAAGACATGATGACGTTTGAGGAAGCGCACAAATCTTCTGTTCCTGCTTCTTTTATCGCTTTTCAATTTGGAGGAAATGATTTTGATAAAAATCAGGAATTTGTTATTGGAGATGGAGCGCAATCCAGCGATAAAGATAGGAGCAAGAGAAGCAGTGGTGATCAGCTTTATTACAACAAGCCACTGCAGTTGAAAAGAAACTACAGAGTGTTCCTCAGGGCTTTTGTCTCGCAGGTATTTTAAGAAAACTTCTATCATTCAAAAGGAATGTTCTCTTCTAAAAGTGAGAACTGACTAACAAAATTTACTCGTGCATTTATTCTAGGTCTGCATCTCAGATGAATCCGTAACGTTCCCCGTAAATCGCTTTGTGTTACTAGCTTTTAGGTAATAGTAAGGTGCTTTTAGGTAACAGCAGGCTGCAGCAGGCTATCCATGCCTAGGAGATCAGAGAGAAAGCTAGGCCTTCAAATGCCTTAAGAATCGATGGTGTTAACGAATTTATATATGAAGTGATATTGTAGTCACCCTGTCACACCCAAACACGTCACTAGGTTAAACACAGATGATTAATTTTTTGTGGTTCTGTGTTGCAGACGGTGTATGTTTCTAGTAACTTCGTAGACATTAACACCAAAGGTACTTTTTTCTTTCAGACAATTATATTTGTGTTTTTATTGCTTGCTTTGTTTTGCTTTGTTTTTGGTTGCTTGTTTTTTTATTTTATTTTAGTTTTTTTATTGTTATTCCGAGGCTTCATGCACTTAGCAAGCAAACTTTAACGTAATATAGTCTAATCTGTGATTTGTTTATCGTTGAAAGACTTGCTGGGTTGGCTGTGTTGGTTGCCTGTCTCTGTTTGTGATCAAATTTAAGTTGACCGTCAACTAAGGGGCTTTCATGATATGGTTTTAGTAAGGAATAGAGAAGCTGCAGAGAAGTATTCATGCTGTTCTGAGTCCTGAGTTTTGTAATGAAATTACTAATCCGTGATTATTAAAACTTAGGGAAACCTGTCATCAAAGATCTACCAAAGAGAACCATTCTAGCGGTTGGCGAACTGGTAGTATTGAATTGTAAGGTCAGTGGACACCCTGAGGCTTCTGTTACCTGGACTAAAGATGGATTTAGCAGTATTCCTCGCGCTCAGTTGAAGGACAACGGCAAAATACTTGTTATAAAAGATGTTGTTCCTGGTGATAGTGGCGTTTACGAATGCAAAGCTATAAACACGTTTGGAGAGAGTTACACCAGTACGACACTCATTGTCGCTGGTACGTGTAACATTTTGTGACTTTTGCAGGATTATTTACTTGTTTTAAGTACATCCGTGGAGGAGATGGTGTCAGCACCCAGATCGTCCACAACCTATTTGCAACCTGACTCCAGTTACTTGCTAGCAGGCCACTGAAGGATCAACTATCTTAACAAGTGCTCTACGTGGTGAAGAAACAAAAATAACAGCAACAACTGAGCAAAGAACCAATGTGCAAGCAAAACACACATCATCTACCTCACGGGAGTTTTTAACTGAAATTTTGCCTGACTTTATTTTGGCCTCATAACACTTTATTTTTTTTCACAGTGCCACCCAGCCTTCTAAAAGAAGTTTCTCCCTCTTCAGTGTTATGTGAAAAGCAAACTCTGTGTTCTCTCTCGTGTCATGCAACCAGTTATACTCCATTCAACTATTCTTGGACGAAAGATGGCCAGGTTCCAGTAGGCGCTAACATCAAACTGATGAATAATAGTATCATTGTCACGCCATGGGATGCACAAGACTATGGGGAGTATGTGTGTCACGTTACAAACGGCTATGGATCCACCGAGTATAAAATTACTCTGTTTGCTCCTAAGGATAATCAAGATGGTGGCGGTAAATATCTTTGCTCACAAATCGAACGAAGTCCAAATCATTCGTTTCAAAAAGTTTAAAAAGCTCAGCGCTCTTAAATCTGACTTGGTCTTTGTAAGCTTTTCATACAGGTTTAGACACATTTCTATCAAAAGCGTCATTATAAAGATATATCAGACGCCAAAGTTAATTGTGTGAAGTTAATTTTTCTGTCTTCAGTTAGAAAATCTATTTTACTGAGCAGTATAGGTCTTTCCTTCCGTGTATCAAAATTAGCCTGTTACGTGGTAACTAAATCGAAACAAACCTGCCAGTGTTTAGGAGGTTTAAGGCTAAAATATGTCTGTGCTTTTCCAAAGAATACAGGTTTTAGGTTTTTGGAGACATAAACATGGTTTTTGACTAGACGAAATTTTCGAGATATTTGAAGGATTTTACAAAATTTGTAGGAAACGGTTTATTAAGACCTTAAGGGATGAGTCAAGATAATTTGAAACTGTGTTCCCGTTTCGAGGTAAGAAGCGCGTCATATCTCTTAGGATGAATTTGCTAAAAGAGAGAAATTGTTGCCTCGAATCATAGAATTTTAGTGGAACATCAGGAAATTGTAATTTACTAGGGCTATTTTGGTGGTATTTCATAGTTTGTTGTTTGTTTTCTTTTGGCAAGGTACACAAACCATCCTTCTTGCTAGTGTCATAGCATTGTCGTGCCTTGTGGTTGTGCTACTCATTATGAATAGTGTGTCCATATGGCAGCGAAGACGAGCTGTTCCTATTGAAAGGGCACAGAATCAAGAAAAAGTTGACTTCGATGGCGTAAAATCTTCACCTGATCAACAGTCAACTGATCTACACGCTTCAGACCCAAGTACATATATGGAACTCGAACCCAGGCCCTCGAACCAACAGTCTCAGGTATCTGCTGATCATGAGTATCAGTCGCTAGTGACAAAACCCGAGGACCCCGAATACTACAATGTGGTGTTTCAGGAAGAAAATGGCGGGAAACAAAATGAAGAAATGTATGAAGAAATATGAAAATCCTTGTGATTTGGTACCTGTCTAGATCAGATTATCCACTCTGTTTTATAATAAGCTTAATTATATACGTGCTGTGATTTGTTCTTACTTAAATGGAGGACTGACGCATAGATGACGCCACCATTAACAGCATCTTGCTTCTTTATTGTATAAAACAAGTAGATTCCATGTTACCGTGGGTCTGATCTGTAACGAGTCACGGAAGACGTCAAGATGTGGTAAGAACGTCAGTGACATACTCGGTTGCATTTCGTGTGCAACGTTTTTTGTTTTCACCACATTTTGATGTCACCTGGGATCTACAACGTAGCAGACATATGGAAACATTAAATCTAATTGTTAATTAGAAACGGTCAGGCTTCGGTTCGTGACACTGTTTTTGTCTCGCTTAAAGAAGCACTCATTAATTTGGTAATGAAATGCACGCGTTTTAAGTTCGTCCTCCTCATTATCGTTTTGATCACTTTTACTATCATAATGTCGTGTAGGGTGCAGTTATCTAACATCACTGCGAGGAAAATATATGATAACACTGACAACAATAGCCTGCTCATTAGATACTGTCAGCGAATGCTGTCTGGTTACTTCAAGAACGAAGGGCTAACGCTCGAAACGTCACCTTTTATAATCTTAACGGTGGCCAATTTACGATTTCAACTTTGTTTATATATTGAAATTATTACTTCAAGAACAGACGTGATCTTTATAAGTTTCTGATCAAAGCAGTTAAGAAGTAAGGCATTAAGGGCTTATTCAACGTGCAGTAACCCTTTATTTGATCCGCCTCTCGGTTAGCTCAATGGATAGAGCGCTGGACTGTTGTGCGGGAGGTCGAGGGTTCGAGCCCCGGCCGGACCAACACTCAGGGTCTTAAAATAATTGAGAAGAATTTGCTACCTCTCTATAACATCAAGAACTGATTAGATATTCTAGTCTTCTCGGATAGGGACGAATAGATGGAGGTCCCGTCTCCTGCAGGGTTAGGGTAGGAGACGTTAATTTCCCACACACGAGATTACTGTGGATTGGATGTCCTCCCCTGAGGTGGGATGGGTGGGAGGGTGGACTAGCACGAATGGTTCCTTTGTTCCTTTCTAGTCCTTCCCCACTGCAAAACTTAATGCAGTGAAAATGGACTAAATTAAAATTTGAAATTATTTTTTCATATCTGTCTTACATTTTACATTTATCTTTATAATTGTATCTTTTGCTTTTGATGCATGTGATGTAGCCACACGATAGAATCACGTATATCCAGCTGGGAACATTTAGTTATAGCTTCGAGATAGTAAATGAAATTGGTAACTTTGGGCGAGATTCCCAAACTAAACGAAACCTCTTAGAAGACGATCAGGCACCGGCATTAACTTAATTCTTTTAATGAGTCTATGTTATTTGGTGAGATTTATTCTACAATTTAAGATACTGTTAGCAGCATGAACATTTGAATTTAACTTCAGGTTTGTTTTGAACCAGCAGTAAAAATGAAAGTAGAAAATATGCCAGCTTTTTCAGTCTTTAGAAGTAAACATATAGCAAAGAGTATTTTTAACCAGTAATGAAAATAATTCCTTATATCATACCTCTCATGTGGCGTTCTAAATTTTTTTAATCGTTTATTGGACATTAGGAACGTTTTCAATATATATTTTTAGTAGATTCTTCTCAATTATAAAGACAATATATTATTTGCACTTTTACCTTAAAGCAATTGAAAATGTTAACAATAGAATGTTATTGTTAGGTGTTTGAAGATAGGAGAACAGAAGAGAGTGGAGAATTTTCGCTCCATAAGATATTTTGAAATTATAGTGTATTGAATTATTGAAGAAAATGCTCAGAGAAGGTTTCCCAAGGCAATGACATTTAAGTTAGTATTTAAAATGCACAGAAGCAACAGAAGTGTTGTAGATAATGGAATAGCGTGATTTCACGAAAAGATGTGTCTGACTTTGGTATATCATGTCTCCTTTACCTATTTCTTCAATAGCATTTCGTTGTCAGGTTTTTCTTTTCCTAAAACCTGACATGCGACGCAGAACTGCGTCCATTTCATGTACAGTCGTAGCCAGGCTACATACATACATATGAATATGTACAGGCTTAAGTTGCGTAGAATATTTACCGCACATCTACTCGCTCTACCCTTTGCCTGAAACGCAGCTTGTTGCCAAATACCGTTGTGAGTTCGGATGTATATCAAACCGTCATGGCCCTTGTTTTATACGTTTGACCAAGTACGCTCTTTTCTTAGTAATGGGACTTGGCACGTGTGCTTTACGCGAGTCGCACCGCCGCAATTGAAAGACTCCGCTGTGACTTATTCTTGAACTTTTATAAAATTTTATGTTCATTTTAATATTATTATTACTCATACCTAAGAAATACATAAGGTATTTGCTAGGTAGGGATTGATAGCCTCGTTAAATTTTAAAATGTACTCCTGTGAGTATAATTACGTATTCTGAACCATAATTAGGAACGTTTCAACGTGCTTCTCTGTCATGAAGTAGTTTCATTTCTTCAGACACATTGCTATAACGTTGTGATATTGAGGCGGGATAAAAAGGGAGGAAAAGCGAATTCGAATTAATTCGCATATCGAAAAAGCATACGGCATGTAAGTTTATTTATCAACTTTTGGAATCGCTTTAATTAAGCAACTTCAGATACTTTCAAGAGGATTGGGAGGAAATTCTGTGAGAATTTTTCGGCCGGCGGGCATGTAGCAAGAAAGTAGTTCGGCTTTTTCCTTCTTCATTTTTCATTCTTTATAGTTTTTTCCAAAATAGGTGTAACTGAAATGAGCCGAAATGTGCTGAAATATGAGTTACTGTGCTGCGGATGCTGGAAATCCAAGCATCAACATCCAACTCCCCTCATCATGTCACTGCTCGTACCCATCCCAATAATTTATTTAGATCCTATCAGACGTTTTGTTGGGTAGTATCGCTGACTGTTTTTTACGAGTTGTGCCGTATTTTGACGAGCCCTACGGGCTCGTCAAAATAAGAACGAGGAAAAATACCCAGCGATACTACACAACAAAATGTCCAATAAGAGATTTATTATCTAACACGCCAAATTGTTATTTCAGTGCGGGCGAATTTCGTCGATATTTCTAGAGTACAAATATCGCGAGTTCAATGTACTCGTCTCGCGCGTTATTTGTACTTGACGAAGCACAGTTTGATTATTATAATAAACAATAATACCTCACGCCCGAGCGCGTGAACAGGTGTCGATCGTTTCGAACAACAAGGGTAGGTAAGTAGAGTCAAGTGAGTAACACGCCGACAAAATTCTGTTGTGTACACTTGTGACCTAAGAACACTAAATTATTGACTAGCCCATATTTTTAATTGGACAGTCCATTGTTTATACTTGTGTCTTTCAGTAGCAGCTAATTCAAGTAAGATTTTTTTTGTCTCCCTTTGTTGTTAACAGTGAGAAACTCGTTCGTTTATTCGATTCCAACTTTAAAACTTGAGTAGGGAAACCATTATCAGGTACGAATCGACCTAGCTTGGTACAAAACGACTGGGTACGAAACGACCGTGGATATAAAACGACTGGTAACCAGCAAGACAATCGTTTTCGATACTCACGAACGAATCATGGCGCAAATTAATCTTTGTTTCCGGGTAGCCTTTCTCGCTGCACTTCTCCCTCTGTCCTCAGGTGAGCACAATATCATTTGAATTCTATACGAAATTTTTATTGTTAAAACAATTTCCGGTAGCCGGACAGGTATTCAAGAATACTTCGTGTTCAGCCCACTAGCTACAGACTAGTAGAAATTCGGTTTCGGCTAGTGGTTTTCGATCCATTCACCAGTTTGGCTAGTTAACAAACTGAAATTGTCGCACTGTCTAAGATTTCACAGCAAGAGTTCCATGTAACCCCATATATTAATTATGCATAGAGTATTGCAAAGAAACCTTCATATTTAGTCTTTATGAAATGAATGCATAATTAATGTGTGGGGTTACATGGAACTCTTTCTCTTCATAAGTTTGATAAAGCTATCGAGAGGAAATTCTTTGTTAATTTCTGACTATTGGATATGGATTATTTTCTGAAACTTTTCCAGCTGCCGTTCTTATGACTTATTTCAACTAGACGCTCGAGGAGCGTTTTACTTAACTTCACCACGCGTAAAATTTATACGAAACTACAATTCCGGAACCTGGGTGAGGAATTTTCGATATCGGACACTCCAGTGCCACTAGCCTTAATTATTTGAGATACTTCATTCTATGTTTATCTCATTATCTCTATGTTTATGACATATCTCATTGAAGAGTTAACGTTTCTTATTCTAAAAATTGGTTTCCTTCTCATTTTTTGTGCAAACCTCAGACTCTTGTTTTATGTGTATACTTTCCTTTCTTGATGCATTATTTTAAGTAAGATCGTTGACTTTCGATGACTTTGGTACGTTTCTTCTTCAACGGCTCCGTACATAACTCTGCAGTTTTCTACTTTTGTGAGAGAGACGTTTTAACATCTTCAGTGGTACTCTGCTTGGTTCACGATCACGTTTATAGCTGTGGCATTCACACAAAACACGATTATAATTATAATATACATACTTTGCATGAACAGATCTGAATTGTTGTACTTTTATTGACACTGCAACATCATTATGTTAATGTGCATTAGTAATATTGACAGCTTTTTGTAGTAGATCAGTCATCAAGAGTATTCATCATGTCTTCTACTATAAGTACATTATTGTACAAGTGATCGTGAAGGTTGCTTCAGTTGATCTTCGTATGGAGTTGTAGGCATACAACTCCATGCGAAGAGCAACTGAAGCAGCATTCATGGTCACGCACTTGTACTATAATAATAGTGATTATGTACGAAATACCAAATCGTACTTCAAAAGTATTGAACCCAATAGAAACCAATGACTGAGAAACAGGATATTTCACCTTATAAGTTGCTTCTGTCAGTATCCTTATCCAATTCTCTGTTGTTAGCACTGCATTTGAAGTTGTGTTTGACCAACATTCTTGATCTTTTCAGCAAGTGAGGTGTTTGTCTCGGCATCAGAGCTAGCTTATTGTTGAATCGGCTGTCACAGTTTTGCAAGTATTTTCATAGTTTGAACCCTCACATGGCTCATTTGCCATCTCGTGAGAATTAGTAAGAACTTTGCATATTTGGCTAGCTTTCAAGCTCTAGAGTTTGTGGACCAGCCCATTCCGAAAAAGCTCAATATCATTTAGTTTGGGCCTACCTGTAACAAATGGCGTGTGCATTGTATGTGAGGTGAGCGTATAAGTCTGGAGTCTTTGCAAAGCTGTCTCCACCAAACACAGCATTCAGTAAATTATGTTGTTTACGAAGAACGAGCACACGACAACACAAGTTGTTGCACTCATCGCCAGTTTCCGCAGTTTATGTATGGAACATACATACATACATTTGATTCGTCTTTTGGCGACTAAGAATGGCTTGCATTTAAGACTCGGGCTTTCCCATGGATGCCCAAGTAATTACTGCCTTCAGGGTATTTGGTTGCAGATTATTCTTTCAGTTTTGAGTGCTGGAACCTAAGACTTTCTCACACGTTCGCAACTTAATCACTAATGCAGACAGCCTCAATATAAAAGAGATAAGAGAGCTGACCCCTAGTTTTGGATTTTATTTTTAATTAAAAGATTATCATGCAAAAAAAGGCAATTTTAAACAAAGCAATCTGCTTGTATAACTAGCTCAATTTTAAACTTTGAATTATTCAGCAAACAGACAAAGTCTGAAACTATTGTATTTCAACGAAACAATTGTATTTATCATTGTCATAGTCTCTCTTTCATTAAAGAACTGTAATGAAGTATGCATTATTTGTTATGAATAAAGGCTGAAAGTTTCGAAAGAAACTGTTTGGGGCTGTGTCGGTGGGAGTAACGAAATAATTTGGATATATCAACAAAGTTGAAATGGTTAATTGGCCACTGTAATGATTGCAAAAGCTGATGTTTTCAGCGTTAGCCCTTCGTCGGAGCGAATCGTCAGAGCGTTAGCCCTTCACTCCGACAAAGGGCTAACGCTCAAAACGTCAGCTTTTGCAATCATTCCAGTGGCCAAGTTACCATTTCAACTTTGTTGATATATCCAAATTATTTGTTATGGGCTACATGTACCGGGGTATGCCAATTGAATGGTATAATGCAATTGTAAATTTTGTTTCTGTAGGTGCCTGTGTTGATTTAGATCTTGGAATGAAAAGTGGAACAATTTCAAACAGTAACATTATCGCTTCATCTGTACAAAGTGTCAACACACCTGCCGAGAATGGTCGACTGAACTACACATCAGGATCATCATGGTGTGCAGGAACAAGTGACACTAACCCATATCTACAGATTGATCTACAGACACTTCATGTCATCTGTGCTGTGTCTACACAAGGAAATTCTCAAGCAGATAAGTGGGTGAAGAGCTACACACTGCAATTTTCCACAAATGGGACAAACTGGTTTGACTACAAAGAAGGTGGACAAGTGAAGGTAAATGCATGCAGTAGTAATTACAATGTGAGACATAAATGTTACCAAAATTGCAGCATACACTTTGAAAAATCCATTTGTGCTAAGAACTGTTGATATATGTTAGGCTATTTACACTTTTAATATTTTTATTCTAGCTATCTTCTTAACTTGCCAAAAAAATTTACTGATGATGAGTTGTGACTATTTGGTTTTTTGGAAGTTTCTGAGAGGAAATGATGACAGGAACTCAGAAGTGAAGCATGTTGTTTATGGAGTGTTAACAAGATATCTGCGATTCCTGCCAAATACACATTGGGGTGGGGTGTGTATGAGAACAGAGGTGTTCGGAGTTAAACAAAAGCCAAGTGAGTTTGAAACTTAAATTTATTTTTGCATGGATTGCTGTTCCTTTATTATCATTATAATTCTAATTATTGCTGGTTTATGGTAGGGTAGTTAAGATTCTACAACCCCGTCATGTAGCTGTTTACATGATGTATGCTTGTTTTTTGGATAAGTTATTAAAATTGTAGAAACTACTGTTTATGCACTCATCAAAGACATCAAGCCTTTTTCGATAACCTATAATTCTAATAGTGTTCATTTTTGTATTGTCTCAAAACTCACCCAGAAAACTAAACTCACATTGAAGGAGAATAGCTGATAGGAAATTAGGTGTTGAATTCAAATTAATTGTTGGAGCTCGATCAAAACTTCAAAATATCTAGTATGAAATCTGAGCATGTTCACTTTGTGGATCAATTTGTTTTTTTTGTGAAATGAAATACACATTAATGGCGTTATTAGTATTGGGTAAAAATACCAACTAAGTTGAGGTGATATTTGATCCGCAGATCCTTTGTAGGAGTCATTTGATTGATCATTTCTATTATAATTTTAATTTGTGAAAAAATGCAAGGGCTGATTTATCTTGCAGCTTGTGAAATAGAGGCCATTGGTCTGGCGTATGGTGGTAAAATTCCCGACAGCAGCTTCACTGCCTCATCACACTTTAATAACAATGCGTATAAACCCTTTAAAGGTCGCCTTAAAGGAGGTCCTAGGGGATGGGGACCCAAGAATAGAAATAAAAATGACTACCTTCAAATTGACCTGCTGTATGAGTATATCATCTGTGCAGTTGCTACTCAAGGAGCTAATGACATTGATGAGTGGACAACACAGTACAAGATTCATTTATCATTGAATGGTACCACTTTTGTCACCTACCAAGAAGACAATGTTGACAGGGTAGGTTTATATTAAGGTAAAAAAAAAAATAGCCAAAAGTAGGTCTTCTACCTCTGATTAAATTTTTGAGTCAAGAGGGGGGACACAAAAGAAGTGTTTACTAGGTCAAGAGACTGCCTGAATTCCCTCTTTTCTCTGTTTCTGGAACATGCATTGTTCATCCCAGTGCATGCATGCATTGTGCTACAGTGCATACATGCAATTTTACAGTTCACTTCAATATCGTGTACTTAATGTTACTTCGTCCTCATCATGTGGATTCACTTAACCCATTACCGCTTAACTTTAATTAATGTATTACCTTGAAAGTTCAGGAAATGTTAAAAAGAATACAAAGGAGGTATTAATTAAAGCAAGTACTATCAATAGCTGGACAGGAATACTAATCCTTGGGTGCTCGTTGAAAAGACTGAAAAGTATAATAATGGAAAGTATAACAATGTAGAAACAAAATAATTTTATGTTTATAAACTACACACTTTTTGTCCTTTGTGGAAATAGCTAGGACAATTAGAGTTTCCTCTTGGGATGAATGCAAAATGTAGCCTTTATAGAATTTAATCTTAGAGTATAGTTTAATTCCTTGTTATTTTAAAACTGTCTGATTAATCTGAGCTCAATCATTTGTTTTCTTTTCCTTTCCACCATTGATATTCTTCTTAGGGATTGCATTTGATCTAGTATGCTTTTCCTAATGTAGGTTATCGAGACCAAAGGAAAATTTAACTGAAAGTGCCTTTGAAAAATATCTTCATGTTTGGTGTCTTCTATCAAACCACTGCCTCTTGTATTATTAAACTACATATATTTCTCCCTCAAGATCACCAGAAAAGGCGGATATTTCAACTTCTAAAACAGGGTTACAAAACTGGTTCTTTGGTAGATTTCTAAGAACAAAAACCAAGAATTCTGATTGGTTGAGCTGTTAGGGACACATAAATAGTTGATACTTAATAGTGGTGAATGCAGTAAATTAAAAAAATTTTGATAATTGAAAAAAAAAACTATTTCACATTTTATACCACAAACTATATATAGGTCTTTCAAGGAAACTCAGATCAGAATGGCATTGTAACCAACCGTCTTCAGAAATTTTCAATTGCAAGGATTATTCGCTTTGAGCCAACAGCATATCATGCTTGGAAGGTTCTGAGAGTGGAAGTTTATGGAGTCCTTCTAACTAAAGGTATTTATTTGCTCAGGTCTTGTTTTTGTCTCCCCTCGAAGTGAAAATGAATTTGTAATGAGAAACCCCTAGTGGAAGGCAAGATTAGGCACTTTTACAGTCTGTGCGAAAGGCAATCAATGATATTGATAGTCTCAGCCTTCATCAGGTGAGAGTTTTTTTTTCGATGTCAACAAAATCCAGGTCGGATCTGACTGACCAGATCACAAATTGGATCACGAAATGGATCGTGGAACAGATCAATTGGACCGGATCACAGATCTGATGATGAAGTAGATCACTCAAGATTTTTGCCGATCTCAGTCAAATTCTTAAATCATTTTGTATCTGGTTACACCTGGGAACAGTTTTGAACTTTTCTGAGAAAACATTTAACTGAGACAAAATTCAAAACCGAATCTGGGAAGGAAAACTTTTTAGACGAATGATTAAAGTTGAAAATATTAAAGAACATCAAGAACTGAAGTACAAAATCTGAGACTGATCTGATCATAGATCAGATCAAGGAAAAATTTGAAAAAATAAATAAATGAAATGAAAAACCAAAGGGAAATGCTAAATTGCACTAGATGAAAACTAGAGAAATGCACCAAGCTCAAATCAAATTCAAGAGGTGAACTCTGGGATAAAGTGCACAGGTCATGGAATTAAATCACTTACTATGTAAAAATGCAATTCAGGTGAAGGAGAATTAACAAGTTCATAAAATAGACCAAAGTTATTCATGTGTACAACATGGGCTGTGTAAATCGCTAACTTGCACATCTCAGTCATATCTGAAACAGTCTTAATTTTTACTCATCCCCTCTTTTTTTGCCTCTTTTCTTACATATGCTTAACGATAATGAATTAGGGAAAAGTAGTACATGAGATGATATTAAAAAAAGACACAATAAATGAGTGATGAAATAATATGTACCTCTTGCTTACCTTCATCCATGCCATTGTGGCACTGTACAGCACTCTTTGACACAGCCATGAAAGTGACCAGATAATGTTCATGCGGCAAATGACTTCCAATTAACATCTCCATTAATAATCAACTACGAAGTATAACAAACAACTATTGTTGTTTATTTCAGCTCCATCACAACCTCCTACTGCCTTCAAGTTGACTGCAAGCTCTTCCACCAGCATTGCAGTTTCCTGGCAGTTACCACCAGTCTTTGCCAGACATGGAACCATAACAGGGTTTAAACTGTTCTACAAAAAGAAAGGTTATAGCGGGTCAGCAACAATTTTGACAATTAGCTACCAAGCAACATTAGGTAGAAATGTCACTGGGCTTGACAAGTACACAGAGTATGAATTTCAAGTATTGGCTTTTACTTCTGATGGTGATGGAGCAAAAAGCCCAGTCGAGGTGGAGAGAACAAAGGAGGATGGTGGGTGCATGATAGATGATGGTGACAGAGGAAATTATTTTACCTACAGTTTTATGAAATAAATTTCATTGGACCTGTGGATGAAAGCTAAACGAGGAAATTATCTTCAAAATTGCAAAAAAGAAGCCTGAAAAATCAATGCATTGCCTCTCGGGTACTATTTTGGGCGTTACTATTAAGTGAGCTACTATTAAGTGAGCTACTATTAAGTGAGCTACTAGGGCACATTGCATTGACAGGATTCAGCCTCTCAGGTGCCATTTACATGCTACTCTCAAGTGAGCTACAAGGCCACATATGCTGGAAGGAAAGTATTAGTGCCCAACTAATTTATTTGAGAGGCGTAGGTTCAAATATGATTTAAGCCTAAAATTTTTTCAGGCTTCTTTTCTGTAATTGCTGGTAATTAGAGAACACCTGTACTGATTATTTCTTTGCTTGATAAGAGAAAAAATGAGGACTTCATTGTGTGTTACCTAAGAGTTGACTGATTATCCTTTTATGCAGTGTAAACTCACTAGGTCTCATCACGACTTCCAATGTAAAGTAGATTAGAAGCACATGCAGGCATCAATGCCTAAGAATCCTATTTGAGTTTTGATGCTGTAGGATCTGACCCCCTAATTTGATAGATCAGCTTGAAATTTTTATTAGACTATGACTTCATTTTATTGATTTGATACTGAATTTACTGTTAAGTTAATTATGGTCAGTTGTATTTTATAAATACCATAGGGTAATTTTTATAAATTGTTTTGTTTGTTACTTCACATTTTATTAGTTAATTGTAGATCCACATCAGCATCACTGGCTGCCAATAATCTCTGTAACTTGCTTTACTAAATAGAAATGATGATGATGATGATAACTAAAATGTGGTACAGGTGCAAACCTTAGTGTGGCATATTAAAGTGCTTGATTGACTGAGCAGTGCACGTTAATGTTTTGTCTTCTTTTCAAGGGCATTGGTTTTCCTTACTTTATGCACTTGGGAAATGATATTTTACCTGTGCATGTGATGTAGGGATTGTTTATCTAACAGGACCTGTTAGGAATTAAGTATTACATTTTGTCAATTGCAGCTCCTTCAAAAGCCCCAAGCAGCTTCACTGTGATTGCAGTTACTTCTACTATTATCAAAGCATCTTGGCAGTTACCACCACGAGACGCCAGAAATGGAATAATTAAAGGATTCAAGTTCTTCTTGACCATCAACAATGGAACGGGTTCAAGTCTGTATGTCACTGGGCTTGACAAAAACACAGAATATGAATTGCAAATATTGGCATTCACTTCTGTTGGGGATGGACCAAAAAGTACAGCTGTTATAAAGAAAACACAGGAGGCTGGTAAGAAAGAGGGTTCCATATAATTCCTATTTCTATGAGGTGCAGAAAACCATGGATGTTAGACATGTCTCTAGAGTATTAGAAGATATTAGATAGTCTTGAGAAAACTTATTGTGTCCTACTGTGAGGTTTTATCTTCTATTGCCATGCTCAAGGAACTAAAAACACGAAGTTTTCATGTCTTGAAAAACTATTTGCATAATTTTTACTTTTAGATTTGAATACTTTGCCTTGACTATTTCACGTTTATCAGGTAAACCTATCGTCAAAGATCTACCCAAAAGAACAACTACAGCAATCGGCGAACTGCTAGTGTTGACTTGTGAGGTTACTGGAGTCCCTGAGGTTTCTGTTACCTGGACCAAAGATGGTCTTACCAGTATACCGCGCGCTCAGTTGGAGAGCAATGCCAAAATACTTATTATAAAAGATGTTGTTCCTGGTGACAGTGGCGTTTATGAATGTAAAGCAGTGAACATGTTTGGAGAGAGCCGTACAGCTACGATAGTCTTTGTCGCTGGTACGTAGAAACTGATTTACAATTACGCAGAACATTGAGTAACAATTACGTAATCATTAATTTTCTTCTGGTAGGTAAATATGTGGAAGAGTCGGTGTATTATTTTTAACGATACGTTAGGCAGTGTGGCTGAGTGGTTAGAGTGTCGGACTCGTAATCCGCCGCTCCCGGGTTCGAGTTCCACCCTGACCACTGGATTTGTTTCACGGTAGCCCCGAGTGCAGATCCTTGGCCACGCTTGTAAATAGCCAACTGGTTTGCCTCCGGCCGGTTGGGGTTCTTAATGATGTTATGTTCAATTTAGACCATTTGTTTCATTTGTTTGCAAGGACCACAATGGAAACTACTGGTTCACCAGTAATTGTGTTATTTTCGTGCACCATATGTAAGTGTTATCCTAGAAAAAGACTTTTTATTCTTTTTTTTTTTAGAGAATTTGCCAACCTCTACCAAAATTAATGACCTACTATGGTTATACCAAGCGCCACGATGATCACCGTAGAAACAGGTCTCAAAAATACTCTGGCCACTTTTGACAGGTCATTGACTACTTGTTGAATTTGAAGGTTGCAATTAAAAACATCAGTAACAACAAAGCAAACCACCACTAAACGTGCAAACCAAAATTACATCATGGAAGTGTCCCCATATGTTTGTTATACACTTAATAATATACATGAAAACATTTCTCAGTTCTGATTGGTTAAGATGATTGCAGTTTTCAGTTAATTCAGTGCAGAAGAGAGTTAATTCAGTGCAGAAGAGAGTTAATTCAGTGCAAAGAAAGAAACAAACCAGACATTCTGATTGGTCAGAATGATTGGTCAATGTCAAGGTCAATGTCAAGGTCAATGTCTCTTGCAGGGTTTGAATAAATTATTTTTGCACGTGATACGCGCGCTTTCCTTCTGCGTAGTTATGAGAAGCTACCTCGTATTTTTTCATGTATATTATTTATAGATAATCACATGATTTTCTCGTGCAATTTGGAATAAATAAGCACTTGTAAATTTTTTCAAAGACCACAAATTGCACTCGCCCTACGGGCTCATGCAATTTTGTTAGTCTATGAAAAAATTTACTCATGCTTATTTATTCCAAATTGCACTCGAAATCATGTGATTACCTATACAAATCTCCGTTGGCATGAGCATGATTTTGTCAAAATTTCTTTTGGTCTCGTTTCATTTTTCTTTCTTTCACACAGTGCCACCCAGAATTATCGAAGAGCTCTCCCCTTCTTTAGTGATGTGTCAAAAGCAAACTCCGTGTTTACTCTCATGTCGAGCAACTAGTTATATTCCGTTGAACTTCTCATGGACGAAAGATGGTCAGGTTCCAACGGGTGATAACATGAAGTTATTAAATAACAGTATCATTGTCACGCCACGGGATGGACGAGATTATGGGGATTATGTGTGTCACGCTTCAAACAGCCTAGGATCAACAGCCTATAAAATCACTCTCCTAGCTCCTAAGGATAATCAAGGTAAATATTCTTCTTCACAATTCGAACGCGCGAAAACGTTTCGTCTCAAACATTTGGAAAGCTGGAAACTTTCAAGTCCGGTATGAAGTTTTTAGGCTTCCTTTTACAGCTGTTTACACAGGTTTCTATCAAAAGCAACGTTATTTACTTGTCGCGTTACCCAGAGTGCAGCGGACGCGGGGCGTGGTGCACTAGAGTTTGGGAAGTGCCAACCACAGGGCAGAAATAAACAACACAAAGTTGATTTTACAACTTTTAATCTGATCATCGATTCGTTTGAATATTATACACGTGCGGTGAAAACTAAAAGGGGAAAATTACAATGTACACGATAAAGAAAAGCGCTAAGGCTAATTTCAAAAGAAGCGAAACCGAAAGGAAAACGAAACGGAATACAATAGACTGCAATTTACATCTGATCCTGTTTTAAAGGCGTAAAGAAACTTTAACTTTGCGTAACTCGAACAGACAAAACTTTAGAAAAAAACTTTGGCCTGCTGACTCCTTCGATCTCCCAACTCCAACTCCTAGATACTAACGGAGGCGTTCTCTAGTAAGGGTGTAATTGTAAACCGGTTCAAACAGTAACGACTAGCTACGTAAGCGATTCAAACTGTGAACAATATCATTCGAAAATATGGGGGTAAACTCGATAATGAAACAAAACAAAACTCCAGCTACTCTGAATTAGAACGAAGGCACTGATTACGTAATCAAAGTCCTTTTTTCAATGTTCATTACGGTACGGGTCTGATACACCGACGTTGTTCAGTAGGAAGTTACATTTTTCAGTGTTCAGGTCGATCATTTCTTACATGAGAACTGAGTTGTCAGGTTGTAACTAAATCAAAACACAGCTATATGTACCATTATTGAGAGAGGTCAAGGCTATATTATGTCGTTTTTTCTCTTAGAGATTACTGGAAGTCATATGGTGACTTGATAACGTAATCTCGAGTCAATAGGATTCGGACCACGAGACGAGAGAACAGAAAGTTTAGAACTGTTTTCATGTTTCGAAGTTAAAAGAAACGTCGTATTACTCAGGATAAAGCTGGCTAAAAAAGCAACATTATTTCATTGAAACAAAGTTACTAAACAGTTTTCAGTGTTTAAAAGCTGGTTCTAAAGCCGTTTGTTTTCTTTTACTAGATAAACAAAGCATCTTCTTTGCTAGTGTGATCGCATTGTCTTGTATTGTGGTCGTGTTGCTCATTATTATTTGTGGGTTGATATGGCAGTGGAGACGAGCTGTTCATTATAAAAGGATACCAAACAAAGAAAAAGTTGACTTTGATGGCGTCAAATCTTCACCTGATCAACAGTCACGTGACAAACAAGCTTCAGATCGAAGCACATATATGGAACTCAAACCCAGGCCTTCCACTCAGGAGTCTCGTGTTCCTACTGAGTATCAATCGTTACAGGAAAAACCTGAGAACCGTGGGTATTACAATGTGGTGCTTCGGAAGGAAAATGGCTGGAAACGAAATGAAGAAGTACATGAGAAAATATGATAATTCCAAAACTGATTTTGTATCTGTTTAGTTCAGATTATCCATCCTTTTTTATATAGTAAGATTAATTATATACATTTTCTGATTTGTTGTTACCTAAATTTCTCGGATTAGAAAGTTTTTGTCAGTTAGTAGTACTAAGGCGTTAGTACACGCCTTCGTTACATGCAGATTAGACAACTGTAATTCTCTGCGGTTATATGATCTTTCGAAACATTTAGTTCCTAGATTGCTATTAGCCCAGAATTGTGCGACACGGCTGATCTTATGTGGTCGCAAGTATGATCACGTTACTCCTGTACTGAGGGAACTGCACTGGCTCCCCGTGGAGCGGAGGATTATTTTTAAAATCTTATTTTTTACTTTTAAAGCTTTAAATAATTTATGCCCTAGTTATATCAGTGACTTGTTAGAAACTTCTAAGCCTACTAGGTCTTTGCGATCATCGAGTTGGAACTTGTTAGTGATTCCTCGCTCCAAGTTGAAATCTTTTGGCGATCGCGCCTTTTCTGTCTCTGCACCTAAGCTGTGGAATGACATTCCTGAAACCATAAATATATCTTATTAACCAAGCGCGAGGGCCGTACTGGGAGAATATCGGTTCGAGGTCTTAACAGTACGGACCGAGCGCAGCGAGGTCCGTACAAAAGAGACCGAGGGCCGATATTCTTCCAGTACGGTACCGAGCAAGCTTGGTTAATAAGAGAGTTATTATACGACTAAAGTTCAAAGGGACACAAGTACGGTATCATTCGGGACCATTCGGGACAGTGCCCAGTCCAATACTGAGAGAATATTGACCGGCAATAGAGCATTTTGATTGGTTGATTTTAGTTATTGGCCCTCTGATTGTCCGAGTCGTGTAATAAAATGTAGTATAGATCTTAAATCTTAACGCTTTTAAACGTAATCTTAAAGCTTATCTTTTTAAACGTTATTTTAATCAACGATTATTTTTACTTTTTACCTTGATTGTGAAGTACCTTAGAACTTTTGGATAGGGCGCTATATAAATTGTCATTTATTTATTTATTTATTTATGTATGAGGTAATGGAGGACAGATTCATAGATGACGTCACCATTAAGAACATCTTGTTTTATATATTATTGTAAGAGCGTCAATGCCACACTCGGCTGCTCTTCGTGTGCCACTTTTGTGTTCTCACTACATTTTGACGTCAACAGACGAACAGAAACATGGAGTCTAATTGTTTATTAGAAACGGTACTTCGGTTCCTGACATACTTTTTGTTCTTGTCTCGCTGAAAGAAGCAATGAAACATTTGGCAATTAAGTGCCATGCGTTTGGACTGCCTTCTTCCATATCATCGTCATGATCACTATTAGTATCATATGGGAAGGGGTTATTCAAAATCACAGTAAAGAAAATATGAGATGTACAGTGATCACAATAGCATCTTCGATAAATCCTAGAAGCGAATGCAGTCAGTTTACTTGAAGAACAGACCATCACGGCAGTTTATAAGTAGGGCCTCAGGGCCTCTCTGACGTGCAACAATCTTTGTTTTGGTTTATTCCACATTCATTTCTTAAATTTTTCTTATATTTTTCTTGTATGTGTGTAATTATATCTTTTGCTATTGATATTTTTAAGATGCCATACCAAGGAATCATGTACAGCTCGACAGTAGCCTTTCGTTAGAACCACAAAAACAAAAAACACAAAAACTACTTACCTAACAAATCCGTGTTATCGTGTGATAACTAATCTATATGCACCGTGAAACTCAGTGTAACAGCATGGAAATTTGAGTTAAAAGTATAAGGTGTGTTTTGAACCACTACTAAAAATGAGAGTCATTAGATGTAGACAGAGAAAAGCCTAATAACGTGATATATCTTTAACTAGTATCTTTTAAAGAAGGCACTACTTTGAATTAATGAATTGAAAGAAGTCAACTCTGATTTAAACAATGATCCGCACCTTTTAAAACGAACAAGGCAATCGGGTTGAACATTCAAATAATCAACCCATTACTGTATTCGTAAAAAGACTTTAGGGGATTCAATAGTCAAACAACCAAAGTAAAGTGTGCAATCTTGACTGTTCAATTTAGTGTCCACCATTTGCCCATGGGTGTACGCTGCTATGCACTCAAGAAGCTAAAGTCACTCTCGGCTATCGCCTCGCACGACTCTTACGCTTCTCTCATGGTTAACAAGCTCCCGCGTGCATCCTTAACTCAGTGGTGTAAGCGATGGCGGGTCATAATTTGGATATATCAACAAAGTTGAAATGGTAAATTGGCCACCGTAACGATTACAAAAGCTGACGTTTCGAGCGTTAGCGCTTCGTCGGAGAGAATTGAGGAATTGTGGGTTGTGTGTGCTTTTAAAGGCAGAAAATGGAGCTACGTGATAACGAATAAATTAGTGGAATGAAAAGCGTTCGTTGATACCTGTGGGATTTAGACTGCCGGTTTGAAAGATGAGCCTTTGTTGAAGAGTTTTGCGGCTTTCCATGCTACCTAAGTGTAAGGAAAGACCGCAGATTGCCATATGTTGCTTAGAATGATTGGGTAAATTAAAATGTCTAGCGACTGGTTTCGATGTGTCCTTGTCATTTCTCTCCACGTCGCGAAGTTGTTCTTGGAATCGGTCATTTAGTCTTCTGCCTGTTTCGCCGATGTAAATCTTTTTGCAACAAGTGCAAGTTAGGTAATATATTACATTGGCGGAGGTGCACGTGAAGTGATCGGTGATCTTAATGGGTCGTTTGGGTCCCGATATTTTATCAGTGTTGTGAATGAAAGGACACGTTTTCCGCGTCTCGAAGGTGTTCTCGGAATCGGTCACCTAGTCTTCTGCCTGTTTCGCTGATGTATATCTTTTTGCAATAAGTGCAAGTTAGTTATGCGATAGATTACATTGGCGGAGGTGCATGTGAAGTGATACGTGAAGTGCACGTGATAGCAGGTCATAGCTTCACCATTTACAGAATGCAGTTATTAGGAAAAAATGACACTTAGTCTTATTCACTAATTAAAGATTCTAATTCAAACGTGACTACTCTATTTTAGCTCCTTCAAGGCCTCCCTCTCAGTTCATTGTCACTACTGAGTCTTCAACCAGTATCACAGCTTCATGGCACTTACCACCAGAAAGCTCCAGACGTGGAATCATCAAAGGATATAAACTGTTTTATAAAAAGAAGGCCTCACGTTTTGCGAGTTCTTTGACTATTGACAATGGAAACACATCAACAAGAGTTACCAAACTTGATGAATACACTGAGTATGACTTTCAAGTGTTGTGCTTTACTTCTGCTGGTGATGGGCCAAAAGTGCTAGTGTTTTCAGGACATCAATGGAAGATGGTAAGAACCAGAAGTGTTTTAACCAACATTTACATAAACTGTACCATCTTATATGATGACATATAGGTACCAGCCCGCATAACAGGCGTTTATTTAGCCGTACACGAAACGGGAGACGTCAAGCGCGAAGTGCAAGTCGCGAGTGCGGGGTGCGAGACAAGGGGAGAGAAAAATGACCGCGTGTCGCCAGTCTAATGTTTATGCTCTTCCAACTGAACTTCTGTTAATCGGAAAATGTTAAATAGTCAATTCAAACAATGTGAATTAAAAAATCATAATAACGGGTTATATTAATTTTTATCTACGAATATTATTATTCACATCAATCCCTACGTCCATTTAAAGCACTTTCATGAACATCTTGAATTAGCTTACAAGCCACACCGGCGCTTGCTTTCCGAAGCACACAGTGTTCGAAACTATCATCGCAAAATTGTTTGTAGGCTTGCGCGGTTTCCTTTGATAAATCGATAGGGACATCTACTTCCACGTCATTACAGGGACTCATTTGTCTTACTTGCTCAAAAAAGGAAGATAATCCACAATGCTTTGAGGACATTTGAATTCAAAGTGCTAACCTCCCGATTAGTTCAATGGATAGACCGCTGGACTGATGTGCGGAGAGGTCGAGGGTTCGAGCCCCGGCCGGACCAACACTCAAGGTTGATTTTAGATTAATCCATATTTGTTTGAGAGAACTATACTTTTTCTCCCTGATAACATAAAGAAAAAATGTTGTTCTAATTAAAACCTACGGTGTCTTGCCGTTGAGCAAAGTGGAAACTTGGTGAGTAGATAAGTTGATCTTACCAAAATGACTGCACAAACAACTGAATTAAGACCAGAACAGGAAAGAATTCACGTGCCTGTTATGATAATAGAGCATTTGGAATTCACACAGAGTATTTTCTACATAAACACGATGGAAGGTGATCCTAGTTTTCCGGAGCACTCACAGAATGCGGAGAAGTAAGACCAACAAAATTCCAGATTATTTTTGACACCTCATAAAAATGTCGAGAATGTCTTTTAAGTTAAAAATAAGTTTTTTTTTGTTCTTTCCAAATATCGTTAGATGTGTCTGACGTAAGCGAGCTCTCTTTTCTCTTCTCCCCAGCTAAGGTGTGGTGTAAAGAAACACCGTCTGCGCCTTCTTTTTCCGCGAATTCAAAGGGAGGTAGAATTTTAGCTAAAGTTATGCTTCCACGTTTTCCTGGAAAATTAAATGCAAGGTTCGAGTGACTGAGCAATTTTACTTTAATTTCATGCGTTATTTTATCGATTAGGGGCTTTTTCTTGCTAACTAATAGCATAAGAAGGACTTGACTAACGGAGAAATGACATTGGAGACATGAGCGAGTCAGAAATGATGAAACTTTCGCTTTCTTATTTTGCAATTTATTATAATTTCAGAGCTGAGCAAAGAGTTTCCAGAAATCTGATTGGTCGAGCGGTTCCTTATATGATTTTATATAAACCGCTCCGCGCGGTTTATATAAAATGTTATGATAAAATGTTAATAAATGTTACTAAAACGTTTTGATTTTAGACATTTCTCTGTTGTTCAGCTCTGAAATTATACTAAAACAATTATTCGCCTCAGGTTCGGTGAATATTGTCGAATAATTGTTAAATACATGATGTAATTTAAAGTTCATTTTCTTTTTTACTGTAAACATGATCAGAAATGTGCATTGCCATGAGCAGATGCAAAAGAAAGTATATGTAACAATTGACATCACAAGATACTGTTGACATCACTTGTATCATGTGACTTATCTTGCAGGTTTTTTCAAGTTATCACCATAAAATACAGCTCAGACTACACTGGTGCTATTAAACCACCAAGAGGATTTACGACGCAAGACATGATGACGTATGAAGAAGCGCACAAATCTTCTGTTCCTGCAGCTTATGTGGCTTTTCAATTTGGAGGAAACGATTTTGATAAAAATCAGGAATTTATAATAGGAAATGGACTGCAATCTTGTAATAAAGAAAGGAGTAAGAGAAGTAGTGGTGAGGAATATTATTACAACAAACCACTGCAGCTGAATACAAACTGCAATGTGTTCGTGAGGGCTTTTGTCTCCGACGTATTCTAACAAACGTTTATCATTAGAAAGTGATATTCTATTAATTCCATGTAAGCACTGAGTGGCAAATCTGACTTCATCTCAGGTGTCTCAGA